AGGAATGCGGTGGTAAGCAGAACTGTCACCTGTGTGACGTATCACACTTGTCACCATTGCCCTGCAAGGCTGAGGGGTAAAGGATTCAGATATCACTGGCTTCTGACTGCACTGCCTCTCCATGTTTATAACGGATGGCTTGGTTATGGGAGAGGCACAGGTCGCAGATGTGACTGAACAGGCAGCTGTGTTTGCCATGACAGTCCTTGGTTTGGAATAAGTGACTTGTGAGGAGAGGAGCATAGCAGCTGATATCTCAACAAAGTCAGGGCTGTGTGGAGGGGTCATACACTGCAAAAAAGAAAATACAACAGCACAATGTTACAGGACAATTATCCACCACCCTTACTGTGAAAGTGAAACCATCTTCCCCCACACAAAGTTCTGAAAGCCTGCACAGTGGAGAAACTCTGATGAAAGCATACGCTGCTCATCTGATGGCCATTCTCAACAGGTTCAAAACCCTACCAATAAAAGGAAGACAATGATAGAGATGTAAACCTGCACAAAACGTTACATGTCATCTCACTGTAAAACAAAAAGCCTCTCATTTCTTCTCCCCAGTAATGAGTGCAGCTTATTAAGACGCTATGAGCTCTCTGCTGTTCACAGAAAATAGATTAGCAATACATAATGACTTAAATTTCAAACTTCCATTGAGTCCTAGATCTTTTATTAATGATTATTCAATCAGCTGACGGCTACTTCTGAGATAAACACATCTGGAAACGCTCTCCTTTCTCTTATTTATCCATTTCTCTCCGTGCTCTCTTGCTGCTACCACATCTCCTTCCTTCTTTGACACTGAAGAATCATGCCTATTTCCTACGCTGCTCAAGAGACAGTTCCAATACTAAGAGACAGGAGCGTGATAAAAGCCGCCTATCAGCCAGCTGTCATCCCATTTCAATTTTTCTCCTCTACTCTCTTCTCCTGTTTCCTGACATACTTGTATATTAAAAGCCTACTGGTTGAAATAAGCATCTTAACCTTCTAAAACTTGAATGGTATAAAGCCTTTTCTCAATATCTTCTTTCATTGCCACATAAATTGAAACAAAAAAAAAAATTGTGATTCAACTGACATTAGTCAGCAACTGTAGAGCAATACTTTGGAGAAACAACAGACTACATGTAGAAACACACAGCACAAGTTACCATTATGAAATAAAAAAAAAAAGATTAGTTTTTATGATTTCTCTTGTAGAATTAGGGTGAAGTCAAATGTCATTAAGACTTTTTCTTATAGTCCTTGCAGGTAAATGAGCACCAAGTCACTAAGGCTCATTCTGCCACTCTCTTCTTACTCAAAATACTCCAAGAAAACTACAATAACCATCCAAATAAGCTTCCTCAGCACACCTGTCCAAGTAAATACCCTGGCGGTAAAAGCTTTCCCACTTAGTCTTAACAAGAGATCAAAGCACCGCACATACTATTCAGGAGACAGCAGAAAAATCCAAACTCAACAACGGATACTTTAATATTCTATGTATTGATACACATACACTGCTGGCTATACCGTATCTATTCTACATAGGGACCCAGAAGCCAGTCAAATGCCTTTTCCAGCTAAGTTAAAACATTGCAGGGATGTAAGGTCAAAATGTTATGCATATTTATTTGCATTCATGTTTTTCTTACCAGCGTAGATAAATAATCCTTTGGTAATTCAGATGTAGCTTCAGTGTGCATTGTGAAATCACCCGAATCTGAGAAGGGTGTAAGTGGTCTTATCTTTAATATGTCACCTTTCTGTGCTCTTTGACCCCAGGAGCTCATGCAAACAAGTGCTTCAACAGCTTCAATGTCATTCTTCTCTAAGGTACTGCAGGTAGACCTTTCGCTGTCATGACGCTGTCTTTCCCGGATAGACTCATAGATGTCCACAATGTCAACCTAAAGGTAATTGGATTACTGGCCGTTAGGACAAGTCAGAAAACAAAGATGACACTACCAACGAACTGTCTGCTCATGATGAAGGTCATCTGCAATAGATCCCATGCCTGAGGCAAGACTTTTAGCAATCAGCTCAACTCTCACCCTCCCACTCAACCAAAGCACAGCTTGTCTCCCCATCCCTGTTAGTCTTGTTTAAAAAAGTGACTTGAAGGAAAGGAACTGATACACATAGCACGCAGTTCAGTTTTTCAGAGTTACTTTCCTGGATTATGTTGCTGTGAATAAACACATCCCACGCCCGCACACAAGCAGAAAGAAGGAAAAAGAAAGAATCTCAACCTCTAACATTATTTAGACAAAGCTATTCCCTGGACCAAAAAGAAGACTGTGTTATTTAGCAGCAATCTAAAGTCCTCTAAGGTCTGATCCCTGCTCTGCCATTGATTCGGGGTACCATATTCTGCAAAGCGTTTTAATCTTATTTTACCAATAGGGAAACTGGGGTGAGGGGGAAGGAAGAAAAGCCTCACGGCACTTTAAAGACTAATTATTTGTATTGTATCTTAAAACAAGTAAGATACTACATAGGTCCTAGATATCTCTAAGTGTACTATCACTAACATGAAAACAAATTTAATTGTATTGATTTGCTTAGAAATGGGAGCATCATACAAAATTAGTGTGGGGGGGGGTACACACAGACATGCATGCAAAACTCTTGACTTCTCTCTGAAAAAGGTTCCTGAACTTCACAAAGCCCTCACAGTGCATATGGCAGTGACCCAAAGCCATGGTGTGCTGTTCATTTATCACTCACATGCTTACTTTTCACTATTTGCTCTGCCCCCTCTTCAGTCTCAACTAAGCATCCAAACCTCCTCAGTCTTTACATACACACAACTAGATGTAAAAGCTGGGATTCAGAAGCATGGACCACGGTTCTTGAACTCCACACTGTTATAAAGAGTGCTTATATATTGCAACAAAAGGTTTACAAAAGCAGCAGTGAGCACCACCACACTCTTATGGTCAAAAGCCCTGCAAGGAACTATACTTGCTGGGTGACATCGCTTACGCAGTGAAGTCAATGAGATATTGCTACTGACATGAGGTGTTAAGTAACATGGAACAATCCTGGCCCAAGAGTGTCACAAAGATACACTACTACGGGACACTACTGCCATTACAGAGATGTACCCTGGCAAACATTTTAAACACAATGGATCAAAAATGCTAATATTGCATCCACAGAGGTCTTTCACCTAAAACAAGAGGTACCAAACACGGAGAGGTCAAGACTAGGGGCAGCAAGGGGTTAAAGCATTCTAAAATAAGGAATCTAAGAGATTAGCTGATCTGATAAAGACTTTTAAGCATTTCCACTGAAAAATAATGAAAAAGGGAATGAGAGCAAGAAATCGTAGCCTACACACCTAGACCGTCTGCCATACAGGAGCCATACCATGTGAGGCTCTGCACTGAAGCCACACAGCCTTTGAGAATCCCTCAAAGTCTGACTGCAGACAATATGTTTAAGTCTGTCTTTCAGGATACCAGTTTTTCCCTAAAGAAATATGAACAAAATACATTGTGCAAGGGAGAGGAAGAGGGAGGAAAACGCTTCTCAAAGCAAGCGTTCAAGCCTAGGCTCTCCCTGCTGGCAGGGAAACGGCTAACCACGCCTGACCGCCTGTCCTCAGATCACCCCGCCGGGTGCCGCGGCTGCAGCGGCCGGTATGTGCCGGGGCACCGCGGGGGGGGCGGGCGGGCACCCGGGCGG